TGACGTCAACCCACGAGACAAAACCTACAACACGAATTACAACAAGAATCATCGAAAAAATTACAACAACGTCTACCAACAGCAGCTCATTGCAAAACTTAACGATTTTTAACGAGACTACAACCAAACAGCCTGGGACTACCCCTATCGAGAGTTATGGCCTGGTGATACCACTAACCAGAAAACCTAAAATAAACGCTTACGATCGTGATATATTCAAAATAAACCATGGTATATCAAGTATTCTTGTCAGCGGTAGTTTGGCGAAGCTGTCACTAATGGCAACATTGTTAAATTTCTTACTTTGAGAATCAYATAGATTTGTTTTCATTAACCAGTGAAATATTAGCGTTCTGCGCTTTAATACTCTTTCTTTTGAGTTTCTTTGCCTTATCGCCGAATCATACATCGTTACACTTTGTATCACGGGTCAATGAAAATCACTGTAAGATATCAAGTAATTTCAATTCATGTGAATATTTGCTAAGTCCGTGTAGGACTCTGCTAGAGACCACTGCTGCTTTTCCAGTCAGACCAGGTTAATGCTGATGCAAGCCGATTATTGATGGGATTGAGAAATGACTAAAARTACGAACACCAAACACGTTTTTGAGATTTTTTTWATGAGGCACTGAACCATGTGGGACATGCCCCCTACGTTGTWTGAGCATGCGTWAACAATGAATGGATTGAATACTATTGMCAGAAGGCAATTTATATGSCTTGTGAGCAGGCTCGTTCGCAGTAACAATAACCATTTGTCGATTTTACATGCCAGGAAGCTYATCAGTAGATATTTTTACACGTCGAAGACTAGATCTGAATTATCTCAGAAACATGTTGCTTCACAATTTTGTTATGCTGTTTTATGCATTGAASAGCAGCTGAAGCTAAATGTATAGAAAAATGTCAATCAAAAAAKATTTACAATATACGCCAAACTGTACGCACACCACGTATATCAAGTCACTTTATGTTATGGTATCCATGATACATAAGGAGGACTTGCTTCCGATTAAAGGAGCTGCTAAATGACTATAGATCACTATCGTGATGATGTTATACATGAAACAAATGAAGTCTGCGACGAACGAAGATGTCATGATTGATTGAACAATCTATGGAAATACAATAAGAGTCTAAGGGAACAATCACAAACGATGATGGCTACTGGACTACTGAAATGACACTATTGAGTTGTCCTTCCTTGTTCTAATGGAAGACTTAGCCTATATATGTAAGATATATATAGAGAACAAAAGATATGAAATAGTCATCACTAAAGTAATACAAAACAAGATGCAGACATGAAAGGAGTYTGGAATGGTCGTTACTGCAGTAAATGTATTGAAAGACATGTCTCTCGGCGGGTATGTGAATTGATATTCGTTAGAGAAAGAAGAATATACAAATGACTGACTGGGTTTGACATGATAAGAGACTTGCCAGGGAATTTATCTGCTCAGCAAATCAAACCTTGAAAATTATTATTATTTCATTACGGAGAGAATAAAAATAATTCCAATTGAGCTCAGGAAATGTTGGAAATTATCAGAGCACCTGAGGATTGTTTTATCTGGTTTGTGATAATGCGAAATAAGAAGAAGTCCATTGTGATGTTGGTAAAACCAATGATAGACTATATATTCCAGTTGGATTAAAGTGAAGACAATCAACATGGATTATGAAGAGGGACACAGTATGACATGGCTTAAGGCCCGTTTACACTTGACTTGCGATTTTTGTCGAGCGATTTTTTTTCGGTTGACCATCGCCTGAGTTTCAAACATGCTTTAAAATTGGCTGCAACTTCGCGGCGATTTTCCATCGCCGTAACAATCGCAGGTCCGTTTTCAAGTACGATTTTAGTTGCGCGATAGCAAAGTGACGATTATCGTGCTGCAAAAATCGCAAGTGTAAACGACCTTAAGCATTGCTGAAAACATGCAACGTTTCACCATCTACAACGCAGTGGCACCCTCTAAGGTCTAGTGTCCATAACGTTTCACCATCTACAACGCAGTGGCACACTCTAAGGTCTAGTGTCCATAACGTTTCACCATCTACAACGCAGTGGCACACTCTAAGGTCTAGTGTCCATAACGTTTCACCATCTACAACGCAGTGGCACACTCTAAGGTCTAGTGTCCATAACGTTTCACCATCTACAACGCAGTGGCACACTCTAAGGTCTAGTGTCCATAACGTTTCACCATCTACAACGCAGTGGCAC